CATGTCCCCCCATACCCACGTCCCCCCGTGTCCATGTCCCCCCCATACCCACGTCCCCCCGTGTCCATGTCCCCCCATACCCACGTCCCCCCGTGTCCCCCAGGTCAGTTCCCCGACGTGCTGCAGTGCGGGGTTGTTTACACCATGGCCAACCAGGACTGCGCCAAGATCTACCCCAGGGGCATCACCGAGAACATGCTCTGTGCGGGGGTCTCCTCGGGGGGCACCGACTCCTGCCAGGTGGGTCTGGGGGGGGCACAGCCTGGGGGTGTCCAGGGCTGGACCCCACAGGTCCTGGTGGTCTCCTTGGCTTGACCTTGTAGCTCCAGGTGGTCTTCACACCTTGACCTGTAGCTCCAGGTGGTCTCCTTGGTTTGACCTTGTAGATCCAGGTGGTGTTCACACCTTGACCTTGTAGATCCTGATGGTCTCCACACCTTGACCTGTAGCCCCAGGTGGTCTCCTTGGTTTGACCTTGTAGATCCAGGTGGTCTCCACACCTTGACCTTGTAGCTCCAGGTGGTCTCCTTGGTTTGACCTTGTAGATCCAGGTGGTCTCCACACCTTGACCTTGTAGCTCCAGGTGGTCTCCACACCTTGACCTTGTAGCTCCAGGTGGTCTCCTTGGTTTGACCTTGTAGATCCAGGTGGTCTCCACACCTTGACCTTGTAGCTCCAGGTGGTCTCCTTGGTTTGACCTTGTAGCTCCAGGTGGTCTCCACACCTTGACCTTGTAGCTCCAGGTGGTCTCCTTGGCTTGACCTTGTAGCTCCAGGTGGTCTCCTCGGCTTGACCTTGTAGCTCCAGGTGGTCTCCACACCTTGACCTTGTAGCTCCAGGTGTTCTCCTCGGCTTGACCTTGTAGCTCCAGGTGGTCTCCACACCTTGACCTTGTAGCCCCAGGTGGTCTCCACACCTTGACCTGTAGCTCCAGGTGGTCTCCACACCTTGACCTTGTAGCTCAGGTGGTCTCCACACCTTGACCTTGTAGCTCCAGGTGGTCTCCTTGGTTTGACCTTGTAGCTCCAGGTGGTCTCCACACCTTGACCTTGTAGCCCCAGGTGGTCTCCACACCTTGACCTTGTAGCTCCAGGTGGTCTCCTCGGCTTGAGACCTTGTAGCTCCAGGTGGTCTCCACACCTTGACCTTGTAGCCCCAGGTGGTCTCCACACCTTGACCTTGTAGCCCCAGGTGGTCTCCACACCTTGACCTTGTAGCTCCAGGTGGTCTCCTTGGTTTGACCTTGTAGCTCCAGGTGGTCTCCACACCTTGACCCCCCAGCAGACCCTTCTCCCCGTAGCCCCCTGGGCCCCTCTGGGGTGGATTTGGGGGTGTCCTTGGTCCTCCCACCCCTCGCCCTGACCCCGGGGTTGTCTTCTCCTCCGCAGGGCGACTCGGGGGGGCCCCTGGTGTGCGGGGAGGAGCTCCAGGGCATCGTGTCCTGGGGGGTGCAGGTCTGTGGCCAGAGGGGCAAGCCCGGGGTCTACACCCGCGTCTGCCACTTCACCTCCTGGATCCAGGAGACCATGAGGAGGAACCGTTGACCAGGGGACACCAGGGGACACCAGGGGACACCGGGGGACACCGGGGGACACCGACCCCCCCGACCTTCCCCTGGGCCACCAGGGGTCTTCTCCTCCCACCCCCGGACCCTCTGATGCCCACCAGAGAGGAGCTCCTGGAATAAAGGCTTGTGAATGGTGGTTCCTTCTGCTGTCCCTGTGGTCCCTTCTGTCCCCATGGTCCCTTCTGTCCCTCTGGTCCCTTCTGCTGTCCCCATGGTCACCTTCTGCTGTCCCCATGGTCACCTTCTGTCCCCATGGTCCCTTCTGTCCCTCTGGTCCCTTCTGCTGTCCCCATGGTCACCTTCTGCTGTCCCCATGGTCACCTTCTGTCCCCATGGTCCCTTCTGTCCCTCTGGTCCCTTCTGCTGTCCCCATGGTCACCTTCTGCTGTCCCCATGATCACCTTCTGTCCCCATGGTCCCTTCTGTCCCTCTGGTCCCTTCTGTCCCTGTGGTCCCTTCTCCTGTCCTCATGGTCACTTTCTGCTGTCCCCATGGCCACGTGCTGTCCCCATGGCCACCTTCTGCTGTCCCCATGGTCACCTTTGGTGTCCCTGTGGCCACCTTGTGCTGTCCCCATGATCACCTTTGGTGTCCCTGTGGCCACCTTCTCCTGTCCTCCTGGCCACCTTCTGTCCCTGTATCCACCTTCCTCTTCCCCCGTGGCCACCAAGGCCACCATGGGGCGGGTGTGGTGGCCACCAGGAGCTTGGGGTGGGAACTGCCCCAGTTCTGAGGGGAAGTGGCCAGGGTGGCCACCTCCTGGCCATGGACGTTTGGTGCTGGTGGCCAAGGGGGACAATTCATGGTCATGAACGTCTGGTGTTGGTGGCCATGGAGGTGTTGGTGGCCATGGTGGGACGTTGGTGGCCATGATGGTGGCCATGATGGGATGTTGGTGGCCATGATGGGGGGCATGGGGGGATGGTGGGGGCACGGG